CATATATATATAAGTATTATTTTATTTTATTATATATATATATATATATATATGTATATATACATATATATATGAATAATAAAATAAAATACTACTTATGACTTGTACTACTATTACTACTTGGCGTTTTTTCACTTATCCTGGTCTTCAGGGTACGGATCCCCCAGCGATAAATGAGGGGTTACTGTATGACCCTTCCTTTAAAATTCTGTCTAATATGCTGGTCAACTTCATTTAACTGGTGTTGCACCAACAAATCACCCATGCCATGAAAGTACCCTAATCACAGGAATTACTATTTGTTTAATGCAACTATCTAGGGTGAGAATATCCATTAAGAATGCATTGCCTAGTGGATATTTTCGCCTGGCAATCTGCTTAGTACATAAATCTCAATTATTAAACGATCATCTATTGGCCTGATTAATTGTCTGATTGTGTAAATATGAGAAAGACCAGTAGAATACTGTGGAATTTTCAGAGTGTGAGATCTAAACAGATATTCATGAATCCAAGTGGATGTTGTGTAAATTAAACAGAAAAAAAGTAATAATGATGACGATAGATGTAAATTTCCCATTTGAAAGAACCATCAATGGTAGCAACAATATATAAAAAATAAATACAAGAGAGAGAGACAAAGTTGTGACACATGTTGGCCAGAAGAAGTGTTAATGGTGGCAGATGTGTGCACAGTCGTAAAACTTCAGCGAAAAGTTTGACTCCAACTAACTCCAAAAACAATTTTCAAAATGTCTATGTGTGGCTGTGCACTTAGAGGCACAGCAATGTCAAATGGAAAAAAAAAACAACAAAACAAACAAAAAAAAAAAAACATAAAACTGGAATTGCAACTCAAGCATTTATGAGTAACGCTTGGGTACAAATGTTAGTGAGTTCTTTCTCCAGAATATTAGCAGTTATTTTTTGGGCTTTAGCACTTATCCAGCTTGAGTCATACTGGTGTGCACACAATTACTGAGTCTACTGTGTGGCAAACCCTCAGACTTATACACAAAATTGCAGGTGATGCAGAATGGTGCTGGAATGAAAGTATAAACCCAGGCTGGAGGAAGAATCATGAGCTTCTGTGTGCTGTGCATCCTCCTGCCAATTTTATTTATATTTTTTTGTCTCGTGTCACTAGGTGCTACTAATCGTATCATACTTGTATTTTTATTAAACTCAATTTTATTTATTTGATCATATTTTTATCTATGATATAATTATTGTGAAGGACTTTGGTCAGCTGTGGTTGTTGTAAATGGGCTATATAAATAAACTTTGACTTTGACAAAGTGTGCTGGCATTCCTCAAATGCAAAATTGGGTGGACAGTCACAGGTATTGTAGTATTAGAAGAGTTAATATTTAAAAAAAAACACTAGTGTGTGTGCTGAAATATGGATTATCTTATGTGTAAGCAAGCCTTGTTCTAGTTATGCTGCCATAGAGTCCCACAGAGCATCTATTCTGCCTTTGAAGTGAAACTCTTCGGGGTACAAGAAAAACCTCCTGGACAAGATGTCAATCTTCCACAGGGGCTTACTGGCAATCCATCTCTTTTAATGATGAAAGTAAAGCCATAAGGTTTTTTCAAGTCTTTAGCACGACTCATCTATGGTTCAAAGCACAAAGCCTTATAGTGATGTTTTTCATCTCATAAATCACCCATGGTGTTGGTAGGGCTTTGCAATTTGGCCAAAGGTTGGGGATGTTAATTTATTCTGAGCCTTTGTAGAGACCTAACCGTTGCTTTTTCCCCTGATAAAAATTCAAATAAATCCTTTTTTACCCCTCAGTGGCCAAATATCCACCTGCAGTTTTTATTTATTTATTATTTTCATTGTATCTCTCCCTGTGCAAAAGTTAAATAATTGAATGAATGAATAACATAAAACGTAGCAGATAATTTACCTTGGTAAGTCAGTTTGACGCCTGGTCTGTTCTCAGAGTGGTCACTGTAGAAGTGGATGGTGGTCAAGTGGGTAGTGCTCATCAAGGGAGGTGGACTCTGTGAGCCACTAAACTGACCAATCAGAGCGGAACTGTGCTGTGGCCCAGCCCGGACTTCTAGAAAATCATGGTTGTCCTCTGAAGAGAAGTTTTGGAATTGAATATGAGCTCCTAGAACACAAATTACAACAATACATGACACATTATTATAAAAGTACAGTTTAAAATGCATAATACTCATGTAAGAGAAGTTAAGCACAGATGGTTTGAATACCAAGCAGTACACAAGTAAACTAAATTGTAGCAATATTTAAAAAATGTATAAAATTAATTTTTAACTTGAGTTAGTTTCACTATGTGCATGAGGGACAAAGTTGAGAGCACTGTATACACTGAGAACAAGAAGAATAAAATCAAAATGTAATTTTATTGTTGCAATTTTTAAAGTCTGATTAGTTATTTTTATGTTTTCAGATAATTTGAACTAAAATACATCTGCTATATTTTATTGATACAGAATATAAACCATCTAGACATGTTGATAAAGTTTAATTGGTATTATGGTTTGCTGCATTAGGGCAGCAAACCGGGGGCCTTTCTGGGTGGAGTTTGCATGTTCAGTCTGTGCAAGCGTGGGTTTTCTCCGGGTACTCCGGTTTCCTCCCACAGACCAAAAGCATGCATGTTAGTCTGATTGGTAACTCTAAATTGTCCCTAGGTGTGAGTGAGAGAGTGACTGGCTGTTTGTCTTGTTTGTCTCTATGTGGCCTGGTGATGGACCAGTCCAGGGTGTCCCCCGCCTCTCACACAGTGACTGATGGATATGGGCACTATTAACCCCCATGACCCCAAAAGGATGAAGATGGATGGTTTGCTGCAGTTATTTCGGGAAATTCATATCAAACACCCAAACCACGTCCTATTCATAAGTTGATCTTAACCTTTGGTGAATCAGCTGCAAATATTATTATATAAAGGCTAAACAAAAACCTGTTTGTGTTTTCGATTTATTTCAATAGATACATCTAAAGTAACACTTTGCATTTAGGAATTCTCCTACATCCCATAACAAAAGGCTTACCGTATCCAGCCGGCAGGGTGATCTGCCAGGTGCAGTCCAGGTTGCCAGGGTAGTTGCCAGGGAAACCTGGACTGAGGATGACACCACTCATCTTAGACAGGACCCCTCCACAGCGTGCTGACAACCCACCCACAGAAAGCACAGTGTTAACAGATGAAGTGCATACACAGGAGATGACTGCTTCTAATCTTTAACAGGCATAGACTGATGCAAGACTGTGCAATGTCAACAAAAGTTAGAGCACTTATTTCACAGTCTTGACATGTCAACACTATTTATTATCTATACATGTCTTATGAAACAGTTTTGATAGAATATTAAACTTTATTGTCTGAAATGCAAACATGAATGGGATTGAGGTCCCTCAACCCTTGTCAGCACTTCGAAGCCTTGGCTCTCATAGAACAAACGGACACGATGCTTGTGGCCAGCACAATTTAATCTACTGAACCAACACTGGTGTGAAAAATCTTTGTTTTCACTTATTCCCCCCGCAAATTTTATCCAATTAAATTACTGTCAAAATAAAGAATTATTATGGCATTAATCCCCTTGTAAAACAATAGTCAATGCTTAGCAAGTTTTCTGCCAAAAGAAGAAAAAAAAATGGGGCAAAATGAGTGGTAATTATTTAAAAGGGAAATTTTCATTAGATCCCCATAAAGTCACA